TGGAAAATAATGTGTTTTTTTAACTTTAAACCGCATAAACACATTTCATTACACCAAATACACAAAATAATGTTCTTTTTAGCAGCATCATATGACCCCTTTAAGATCTACTTATGCTTCTGATGCTTTTGGGAAACGCAGCCCTATTTGAACAAGCACTCTGAGCCATGCGTCAGCAGCGAACGCTGTCTGTGATTGATTGGTTCTGTCTTTCAGCATTTGCGTGTGTTCCGATGAGCAGGAGAAATGGTTCTTAGAAGAACTTATTTTATGCACCGAAGTTCTTGATAAGTAAATAAAATTAGTGGTTAAAAAATGCACTTTAGAATCGATATTTTTATGTGAGGATCGATCCTTTCGATACAACATCAGTATCGAAAGTATCGATATTTAAGTATCGATCCGCCCATCCCTACTCTGTATCAAACACCGCCATTGGCAACAATGAACTTTATTTGTTGTGCACTAGTTGACCGCTAATGATGGTTGTTTTGTTTTGTATGGGAGCATGTTCATATGCTATAATGGTGTGCCAAGGGTTACACTTTTGAAATTAAATTTTCACTGTTATGTTGTAGTTGTGATGTAGTTTGTGTCTTGCCAGATTAATATGTGTGAAAAGAGAACAAGACTCATCTTCCAGTTGCACATTCAAAAAGCATGAGAGTCTAACATGAAACTGTAATCTGTTTATGTGCTGTGTCAAGTAACAATGCTAGGCAGTGATGTTCCTCTTTCTCCCTCTCAGTTAGAGGAGTGTGCACTGCAACTGGCTTCTAATGGCAACTACCTGGATCTGGATTCATCCCTTGCTGAACAGAGAGATGATCTGGAGAAGCTCTATGACGACGTGGAGTAAGAATGACTTCAAATGTTGCCATCCAATCTTCTCTCTCTTCCTCTCCTACTTTCTTTTTTTCCTTTCATTGTCTTTTAGTTTAAAGGGATAGTTCACCCAAAAATTAAAATTACCCCATGATTTACTCACCCTCAAGCCATCCTTGGTGTTTATGACTTTCTTCTTTTAGATGAATGTAATTGGAGTTATATTTAAAAATGTCCTGGCTCTTGCAAGCCTTTTAATGGCAGTGAATGGGTTTTATTTTTCAATAGTCCAATAGAAGTCCAATAAACTGCACCAATCCATCATAAAAAAGTGTCCCACACGGCTCCAGGGGGTTAGTAAAGGCCTCCTGAAGCAAATCAATGTGTTTTTGTAAGAAAAATATCCATATTTAAAACGTAATCTCTAGCTTCTGTTAACTGTCGTACGCGCGTACACGAGATAGTGACGTTCTGACGTAGGTATAGCGTAACCTCCGGTGAGAAGTGACGAACGCGGAAGCACACAGGAGAGAGCAAAACAAAACACTGTTCACAAATTAGAAGTACAAAACGAGGATTTGTAAAGAAAAATGTCGGAGGATTTCGATATAAGCCAAAGAGGAGACTGGTTTTCCTTTGCTAAACAAAGGAAACTTTGCTTCCTTTGCGCCTGTAAACAAAACTTGTTTCTCGCGAGACTAGCATATTCTCACTAGAGCTTACGCTATGCCTACGTCCTACGTCATCCGGCTGGAATGCCCTACATTATTGAATGTAGTTCCTCCCTTGCTGACTTGAATGAATAAACTTAATTAAAAATGGTATTAAAGATGACATTTTTATTCATTCACAAAAAGAACTTATATTCTTTGTTTTAGGGAGAAATGAATTAATAATTAAGTAAATCCTTAAAAATAACTAATTAAAAAAGATATTTATTGTTTTGCAGCCTATTAAAAATTTACAAAAGGGATGTGAGTCACAAGTTGACTCACAAGTCAGGCAGAGGTCCCCCCCCCAAAAGTCTAAGTCAGGTGTCAAGTCTTAGTCTTGATTTGGCCTTGAAAGATTTTAGACTTGGTTTAGTCTAAGGCCAGAGACTTTTGAACATGTCTGCCCCCATCCAACCCTTCTTTTAATTTTCTTAACAAATTGGAAAAACAGCATCAATTCCAAGTGAATGAATATTTCCATTCTTGGGTCAATCTGAGTTCTTAGTCATTCAAGAACCAAATTTGGGAGAATCGTTCATAAGGTGAATGTTACTTTACACACAAGATATTCTTAGTGAGGCCAGAGGGAAGGAGTGGACAACATTAGTCACAGATGCTGGGAACGTGGCTTCATAATGCGTTTAGAAGAGAGAGTGGATAAGTGCTTGCAACACTCCACTGAATCTGTTTTTTGGGATGTTCAACAGTGTAAAGTTTCGACCAGTTTTGACATCTTGGGACGTTGTTTTGGATACATTTAACTGCACTCAGCATTAGCTTTTAAATAGGACTGTGCAAAAAATCTAATGTGATTTTCATGTGCATCTCATCAGTAAAGCCGCTCCTGTGATTAGTAGTAAATCTCCAGCACGTGCTTTCAGATGGAGCAGCATTTACTACACAGAGCCGTAGTTCATTGACAAGCTACACAAAATCGCGTTCAAAATCGCAGGCGATTCATTGCCAATTTTGAACGCGATTTTGTGTAGCTTGTCAGTTAGATTTTTTGCACAGCCCTACTTTTAAAAATACAAAGGGTGTTTCAGCACTGCCCTCTCTAATGCTATATTTAGTCGTCTTTTTATTACATGGTGGTGTCATCAGACTATACTACCATTTACTTCTCAAGTGTCTTATTGCTCCTCCTGTAGAACATTTGTATGTTGGCTTTGTAGATTTGATACAAAAGCTTCTTTAAGATTATAAATAAATTCTTAAATTACTATTTGTATTCCTTGCTATAACATGGCTCACAGAATAAGGAAGGTTTATGTGACTTGTTTGTAATGATACAGCTGCTACATTACAGGTCCTGTGGGATGCTTGAAAAGAAAAAAAGAACCGGTTTCAGCCAACTCACTCTTGTGGCATATTCATAACTGTTTTACGCTTTGGTGAATTGTTGGCTAATTTGTATGAATTCATACAATTTAATTTGTACATTTCCACATGCTCTGCTTACGCCCCACTGATGGTAACGTTTAGGGATGGGGTTAGGGGTGTCTTTTATTTCCCTAAAAATTTAACTTTTCTGCGTGAAAATTGTCACCTGACCATACAAAATCATACGAAATTACCACCTCATAAATTTGCGTTATCTTATAATATCGGTTTGGTTTTCGCTATTAGTCTGGATTTAAGGGGCATTCAATTGATTTTGTTTCATTGTAACAAAATTGACGGCTATAATTTAGCTCCCAAGATTAACTTACATGTTATTTTAAGTAATTCAGGAGACTGATTGAAATTAATTTTCATCTATTTCAATGCTGCTTTAATGCTTGAGGTAAATTTGACTTTTTTTTTTTTTTCATCTGTAAGGTGTGAGAAACAGTGACACTGATTAATTTTTCTTCTAATTTCTCTCATGCTCCCTGTCTAACTCTGGTTCACTCGTCTCTGGTGCAAGTGAAACTCTTAGCTTTTCTCAGCAAAAGAACAAATTGTTCAGCCTGTAGTTAATTTTTTTGTTTTGTATATTTTTTTAATCCTACCTCATTTCAGATGTACACATTAATGTAGCCTGCCATTGTCAAGGAGGTCTGTCTGGCAGAAAAAGAAAAGAAAAAGAAATTAAAGAGAACATTTCCTGTATGTTTGTAGGTCTCCATCCCTGCACGTCAAAGACGAAAAGGGTGTTTCAAGCACTAAAAAATAAAAGTTTAATACAGCTTTAAATTTAGTTTTTTCCCCATATATTAGAATGTGTCTTGTTTAACTTTATATTTTTCTGAACAAAAAATAATGACTATCATGTATTTTTAGTATAATTTACAGAAGGCACCCACTAAAATGTCATTCAGTGTAACAATATTTATATACTAAAAAATCTTTTTAGGCTTATTTTAAAAATGAATCATTTGATGACATTATAAAAGACTATTTTTAAGCATCACAGTGCAGCCCTCAAATACCAATTCACTTTAATTTTTGAATCTTTATACTTTGCTAATGTCCTTCAAACCACTAGGTTTTACCTACATTTGTCAGCAAGAAGTTTTTGTGAGGAAGTGAAAGTCATTTAAAGGGGTCATATGATGCTGCTAAAAAGAACATTATTTTGTGTATTTGGTGTAATGAAATGTGTTTATGCAGTTTAAGGTTAAAAAAAAACATTATTTTCAACATACTGTACATTATTGTTTCTCCTCTATGCCCCGCCTTTCTGAAACGCGTCGATTTTTACAAAACTAATCGGTCTGAAAAGCGAGGTGTGCTCTGATTAGCCAGCTATCCAGTGCGTTATGATTGGCCGAATACCTCAAGCGTGTGACGGAAATGTTACGCCCCTTACCATATTGTGATGCGTGTCCCGGAGCGACGAGACAAAAACATTAAAACCCATTACAAACGAGGCATTTGTAGCATCCAGTGGGGACATAATTACGGATTATAATGACTTACACTGTCTTTTTAGCCTTTTTTCTTTGCGTGAACATTTGGGCGGTGTTATGCAAATCTTCCCACATAGTGATGTAGATATGTGGGAGCGTGTTAGAACTCGCCATTTTAGGTAGGCGTGGCTGACTCTTAACTTTTATAAAGAATATCTCTTTGGATTTGAGACTTTAATCTTTGCAACTTTACAGATCTTCTTTATGCACCAAGAGCTTGTAACACTCCAAAGAGAAAGGAAAAATTGAAATCGCATCATATGACCCCTTTAAAATATAATAAAATTTAGTATGATCACATATTCTTTTTTGTATTTTAATAAGTACAGGTCAGAATAAGTATATTGTTTCATTTTTACATAAATATATCTGTTACGCTGAATGACCATGGTTTGTTACTCTGAATGACGATTTGCCAAAAAGAGAGATAATATTGCCATTGTTCCCATACCTGAAATGTTTTTCATATCTTGAGCATTTAAAGCGGCAGATGATAAACCTGCAGCGCATTCATAGAGCAAACAGTGCTATCGTTCATTGGTGTGGAGGCTAGCATAGTTACTGTTATAGTTATCTTAGTTATTGTTCTTGGTGTGAACAGGCTTTAGAATGCCACCTAAGCTACTGGGTCCGCACATACTTTATTAGCTTTTTGACTTTTTACAGTGCCTAGCAGCTCTCTCTGTTTGTGGGCATCTAAAATTAATCAATAACAAATTAATCAATACAAAAATGCATTCAAATATTAATATTTATTAAATTTGTCAATGTTGAACAATCCTCATTATTCTGTAATATGAATAAGATGCTAAAATTGTTATTTATACAGTGATACTGTCATTCAGTGTAATGGATGACACCGTGATATAACAGAGAATTTGCATTACACCACATGACAAAAGCATTACCCTGAATGACGAAACTTCTATTTCAGCTTATATTGCAGGCAATCACATGGCCACATGTATCAAACAGTGAGCTTGGCCAGTAAAATTAATCACAATTATTTACAACATCTCCTAATTTTTCCAAAAAAATCTAACAATAAAAGTGTTTTTTGGCATTTCACTGAGTGACATGCGTTTTTGTAACTTCGGATACCACACCATGAAAAGGAGGAATTATCAAATATTAAAGGGCAATAAATTTACTTTTCTGCAGCACCACATGGTGTTCAGGGTGCCATTTGATGATGTCACAGACTGTCGAATGACTATCAGTTTTTTTTTAATATGATTTCAGAATGGCTTCTTGTTCCTGTTACACTGAATGATCTCTGATAAACTGCATTTTCGGGACAAAAGTCCCCTTTAAAAAAAACAATAAGACATAGTCCTTTTAATGTAACAGCCAACACTTACTTGAAAATGCCAAGACAAGCAATGTATTTTTTAACTTGGTATTTTATATGTTTATTTAAAGATGTAATGGTAAAATCAAAGTCCGGACCATTACACTGAATGACAATTTTTTCACTTTGGAACATTATTTCCCCCATATTTTGACATTTTATTTTCACCAAACTTCTTTGAAATATGAAAGTAGACCCTTTACTTTTTATGTATATAAAATTACTTTTGTACTTTTGTAACAATGCTGCTGAATCTGTTATAGTCAGGAAATGCACTGAAAACTCGATTCTCTCGTTGTTTGTGTTTAGTCTTTGCTATACTTGAGAGGAATTCCCCAATTTGTGTTAGTATTGTAAACTAATGTCAACAATGACTAATTTCAACACAAATTTTTCTTTGCGAGCCAATGAACATCTGTTCAGCCTCCTTAGATCATAACTGTTGAATAAGTATTCAACATTTTATTAAAGCTGCAGTCCGTAAATTTTGCCTCCTTGTCGCCATCTCTGTTTGAAAACCTGCAATTGCAGCTGTCTGCGGAATTATCTTCCCTGCGTGGGTTGTACGGCGGCTTGGCTCCAGCGCGGATGAATCTAATGTTCTGAAGAGTATGTGTGGCAGTCAGTCACCGCACCGGTGTGGATATTCACTGTACTTCGCAATCACAGATTCTAGCCTACGTCTTGGAATATATGACCCAAATAAGAATTTTCACCGGATATTGCCATCTGAACAAGTAACAAGTCTACAACGTTTGTTCTGACCAACTGAGGAAAAAAGCATTACCATAAATCGCGCTACCAATGGTGATTTAATCTAAAGATCGGTTAGCTCATATCACATCAAACCATGCAAATTATTATTATTGTTATTCTTTATTCTCAGATTATTAATGTTAACAACATCAGCATTACGTGACTGTGATTATAGTGTGTATAAGATTTCAATTTCTGTACAGTCTAATCTCTAATTGTCATTAGAGATTATCATACCATTCGAATTTCATACCAAGAAATTCTTTTAACCCAAAAATAATCAAAAAAAGTTACAGACTGCAGCTTTAAAGAAACACTTTATGAAATTCAGGTAAAGGCTCAATCATGCTCAAAATGCTGACAAAATACAATATAATGAGCAGCAGTTTTTGGGATGTACCATGATGCTTAAAAGGGTGGTAGACAGTCACAGTACAGCTTGGAGAAAATTGCCCTGTTTAACCATGTAACATGGTTGTTTTAATCACAGGTTAATGTAATCTAATAAAGAAGATAAATGTATAGGCTAATACATACGGATGACTATGACTTTGGCCATATTGTTCTTTTTTCTGTAGTACAAATGTAACACCTTCTTCAGTATGTCTATTATATGATTGAGATAAATAAACCTGTTCACTGGCTAAGCTGCAAACAATGCTTGGACTAAAAGCACTTATTTTTCAGATGAATGGAATAATATTTATTATTCATTTATACTGTTGAAACCTTGCCAGATTTTTGTGTAGAACGTCTGTGAACCCCTGAATGTTCAGCATTACCTAATTATGACCGGTATCAGTTTCACTAAATCATTTATTAGTGTTGCTTAGTAACGCACAGTCATTGGACCCACCAGAAGACATGAGTGATTTCACAGAGGCAGAGCCAGCGTTTCAGTGTGCTGACCACAGCTTAGACTGACAGTCTCAGAATACACTGAATAGAGCTAAAACACTGAACCGCAAATCTAGAACTCAGAGTCAGCTCAAACTGAAGAATTGCATAACTTTGGATCTGCAATACTACTCAGGCTATTTTTTTTTTCCAGATTTGTTCAGCCGTGCTCTGGAGAATCACTTTAAAACCCAGCAGAGTGCTGTGTTTGTAAAGAGCTAAATTGTATATACAAGTGCACTCCGTTTGTTTGTTTAACTACTGATCAAAAGATTTGGGTCAGTAAGATCTTATTTTCTTTTAAAGAAATGAATACTTTTATTCAGCAAGGATGCATTAAATTGATCAAAAGTGACAGTCAGATCATTTAGAACATTACAAAAGTTTTATATTTCTGTTTATATATATATATATATCTGTTTATTTAAAAATATTAAGCAGCACAACTGATTTTAATATTGATTATACAGGTGCATCTCAATAAATTAGAATGTCGTGGAAAAGTTCATTTATTTCAGTAATTCAACTCAAATTGTGAAACTTGTGAAATATTTGAAGACTGAAGTAATGGCTGCTGAAATTCACCTTTGCCATCACATGAATTAATTACATTTTTAAATATATAATAAAATAGAAAACTTAAAAAAATGTGTGTTTTTTTCTGAACCGTTATAATATTATATAACTGTTTAAAAACTGTTGTATTTGAATGTTTTATGATTTTACTGTATTTTGGGTCAAGTAAATACAGCCTTGGTGAGCATGAGACTCTTTTTTTTTTTTTCAAAAACACAAAAAATCTTACCTTAAAAATCTTAAGAATGTTTATATGTATTATGAGTCAAAATATTGCCATAATTTGCAATGTAATTTTTCCCCCCAATCTTATTAAATTGACCAAGATCTCTACAGAATCCAAATGCAAATATTGCAAAAAAGCAGTAGTGACCTTATTGTTGAAGGAGAACTAGCAGCTCCATGCCAGTGGAAATGCCTTCATTTCTCATTATGAAGTATTTTTAATCGAGTGGTCTTATTTTCTAAGGGCTCACTGTTACTGTGTTTGTGGGTGTGTGTGTGTGTTTAAAGCATACATGGTTTGTATTTGTAAGCCGGCAAAAATGTAGCCACTGCTGGGAGCTCCTTCGGGTTCACTGAGATTGTCAGGAGGAAACGCGTCATTTAAAGCAGTAGCACTTGGAAAATAGAAGACAAAATTGGGGTGTGTGTGAGAATGTCTGTCTTTGTGACTGGGTGTATGAACCACACAGAACATCGTGAAGAAAACATAAGCTTTGGATAGGTCCATTTTTAGCCATGAACGCTCTTGATGCATAGTTTCCATGTCTGTTTACTCTCTCTTTCCATACCTTAATCCCTACCGACCCATATTCTCTCTTTCTGATTCTGTCTCCAGTGTGCCTTCAGTGTAGTGCGTGTCTGCAGCTGTAATAATGACTAATCCACAGTGTTCTTTAAATGTATTTTGCTCCATCTGCATTATCATTAAAGTAGTGAAAGAATTCAAATGAATAGAATTCAACTAGTATAATGATGAGAAGCACAAACTGTTTGTGTGTTTCTGAATGAAGTTATTTGGTTTGCTGTATGATGTCTTGATTCTCAAATTTTTTTTCTTTCTACAGAAAAGGCAAAAAGCCCATCTTGATTCTCCGTACGCTGCTGTCAGTACGGGTTCATTCCATCCTAGGTAAGAGCGTATGCACAGTAATACTATGTGATGAACATATGATTAATTTGCATGCTCCTTTCATAAGTGTAAGGTGGCAAGTACGTCATCCCTAGCTTTCCATTCTGGCTGTTGGTTTAGTTTGTCTTGGAGAAGGAATAAATGGGCCACGTTCTCCAAAAATGCTGAAATGGTATTATCCCTATATGGTTTTTCCTCTCAGTTGGGAACTTTCCAACTATGTCCTCATAATCCTCAGTGACAACTTCAGGTTCAGCTAGGCTTTCATTGTAACATGGATATGTTAAAGTGATGAACATAAGAGCTCCCCACTTAATAGTTCAGCTACAATTGGTTGAAGTCAGCGATTTAAGTGAAAATTCATCCATATTTGTCTTTTATGGTCATCATAAACTGTTTTAAGCTGGCCTATAAGCAAGTATAATGCCCAGTTTTTTTTTTTTGGTAACCATTTACTTGGGCAAGTGTATTCTGCTTCTGCAATGTGTGTTAATATTATAGCATATATACGTTAAACAACACTTGTGCATCTACTTTGACCATTAAGCTGTTGTTGAGTAAATTGTTGTATTATGTGTGTTTCCATTTGTGGGATACATATGGTGTATGATAACAGCAATGACAGTCCAGATATTCTTCACTCTCCTTCATTTAGTTTTTGGTTCAGCTAGACTTGATAAATGTAAGCTTAAGGACAAAACATAATGAACAAAGCCACAGTAGCATAAATAGATTCTGCTAACACCAAGGATTGAGTCCATGGTCCAGTTTTGGCATCAGATGTATACTGTTAAGTTACCTCGTGAAGTTAGTTTATTTCCAGTCCTGTTAAATGCATACACCCTTTCAAAAATGTATATACTTGGAAAAACATTAACACTCAAATAGCATATCTAAATATCTAATTTCTGATGTCCAGGATGTAGTTACAGAGTGACCTTTGGAGGGTTTTCTCTCCACATATTTAGAAAGTGGAAAGTGCAGAATGAATGGCACCCCATCAGTGTCACCAAACCAGAATACTCAATTTATAATCAACTTGGCCATCTGCACTGGAAGTTTCAGGTATATGCCATTTCATGTGATGGTATAAACATTTGATTGTTCGCTTACTTTAAATTTATTTTGATTATTTGTTTAAATTATTATTATTGTGTGTTTTTGTTTTTAAAACAGAAAATATTTTAACCTATTAAAAAAAGCATTTGCGGCTATAGGCCAGTTGCCAGGACCTAGTCACGCCCTTTCATTTTCATTAGTATTGTGTGACATATAGTGAACGGATGAGTAGGTTGAAACAAGGGCTATGGAAACCTAGTGATACCCTCTGTGTATTCAATCTCCCTCACACTATGCCTGTCTCCCCTCCGTTCTGTCTGTGAATGCATGTCTTATCTTGCATTATATTATGCTGGTTTATTTTTCTACTGATGGGACATGTTTGAATGGAAGTTGGTTTTTGAGTGTGATATGCGTGTGTATTTGAGCAACACAAAGAGAACAATACACCTCAAGACAGGACAGACCAGTCCAGCCCTGGGGTTTCTGGGTCACTGTGTGATGCACAACACTCCCATCTGGCTCTGATGGTGTGCTGAATCTTTGTTATTGCTTTTGTGGTCATACACAAAAGATAAATGATTTAGCAGTTTTGCCCAGTAGATTTTTATTTCTAAACTGCTTTCTTGTAATAATTGAGGTAATGCTGAGTCATTGTAATTGTGTTGTCAGGAATGTCAAATTGAATGTTCAGGAATTTAGTCACATTGCCTGTTTGTTTTTTCTGTCTCTTCATGAAGTGTTGCTCTTTTGTTTTCCCCTCTATGTTGACCATAAAAAAAGGAGAAAAAAAAAATCTTGGCAGTATGTTTTTTTTTTTTCACATTTGGATCAGTCTGAATCAAAGAGCTCATCAATCCACTCAGTCCAACCCCCACAGAGCTATTGTAGTGTCTGGCATACTTTCAGTTTTATTAATTGAGTCAAACTATGTTCACACTTTCACCCATTTGTTACAAACAAGTGACAAGGCTCCGTTCCAGTGCTCACTGTGACTGCATGGTCACATGACTTTGGCTCTTGAACATGAGCCACCAGCGCTCTGTTGATGCTGTCAGTGCCAGCTGGCCCAGCCAATCAGATACGAGTAAAAAAATATTGGCTGATTTTACTGAGATCCAGCGTTCTAAAGAAGCCATTATAATTAGTCATGGCTGCTTATTATTTTTTCAGTTGGAACGGGCTTGTCACTTGGCTAATAACCGTGTCTAGAGAAATGGGTAATTTTACAGTTGCTTTGGGTTCAAAGTAATGCATGATCTTTTATCATAACTATGCATATGAATAGGTCTTTAGGGTTCATGCGCTCCTCCTCCAGTGATTTTTAAAAAATGATTCTTAGCTGAATCTCAGCTTGCTTTTCCCCGTTTGCATAATTCACATTTTTAAGTGTGAATTGGACTTTCTGGGCTATTTTATGACGACTTGTTTTTCATACTATTCCTGATATCCAGCAAGTTCAGTCTTTTTCTGTGTCAGAACACTGTTCCCCTTTCCATTCAGTATCAAGTGTGTCCTCTGTTGCTCTCTGCTGCAGACATAATTTATGGAAATGAAAGAATCTGCTGTTACTTCCCGGGTATCTGAAGGAGTGTGTAAAATATGTATATATCCATTCAGGATAAAAAGACTGCTGGCTTTGCCATTTATAACTCCACAGAGACTTATCAATATCTAATGTACACATTGTGGCTCATATAAGTGCTTCTGTGAACTTTAAGTAAAGTTACAACATCAGTTAATTAAAAAACATTTCCTTTCATAACAACCACAGCCTCTATCCCTGTTTTATAATGTGTGGTTTTAGGGTGAAAAACGAAGGCAGGCTTAATCTCCTTCGGTTTTCCTGTTGTTTTAGAAATAAGCTGATGCTGCACCCTATCCTTATAGTCATGTGTGAATCAGAGGAATTTTAATGGCAAACTAAGTTTTTAGTGTCTGTTTCGGGACATTTACTAATGTTTTCATTTTTCCACTATGTGAATGAATGGGTGATTGAAATGGCACAGGTTCCCACAAAACAATGTAGTTCATCATATCCTGTACTCAATCAAGGGTTTTGTTTTTCCATTGTACCAGTAAAGGTTCAAAGCTTTCCTCAGAATCCTCAGCTTGCAGGTCCTTGCAACATTTATTCTTGCCGCAACTGGATAAATTGAGCAATATCATATTATTGTCTCCTGCACATAAACTTGTAAATGTGGAATTGATCGGGTATTTACCTGGTTTCTGACAAAATATGAAGATATGTAGATTGTTCAGTGTTTAATAAGCTACAGTATATGTGTAATATTGAACCAACAACACATTGGTAAGTGAATAGATTTTGATGTCTATCTGAATTAAAAGCAACAATTAGCTGTCAAATTTCATGTGCTTTGCTTTCAATTTAAAATAAAATCGGTCAAAATAATCACTTTTGAGAAAGTGCATAAAAAATAGTAAGCTCAGAAAAATGCTGTGGCAACTTTTAAAGTGTTTCCGAAGTAATTCAGTGTAGGAGGAACAGTGTCATTTAAATTGCCCAACAGGAAATGCCATGGTGCAGATAGGTCATCCCTAAGGCCTCGGGCTTCTATTTCCTACTCTGTTTATGTAAGGCTGGGCAGCAGCACATACTGTTCAAATTTTAGCAAAGCCACCCGTACGTCTGTCATTAGCATAAATTCTCTAACAGGCCCCTCTCCCTCACATACACACGTGAACATGAACCACAGGTCGTAGTTTTCATAGTCAAATAAGCATTTTATGTAATCATTCAAGTGGTATTTCAAACCTTGAAGTGGACATCATTGTGCCAAAACGGGACAGCTGAGTTTATTTTTATATTTGATGCCACCCCGCACACAGTTAGCCCTCTTAAATGCCTCTAAAATCTTTCTTCCATCTACTGCTTAAATATTTAACTCTCTCCAGCTCACAGAAGAAGCAAAGTGACTTCCGGATCTAACTAAAGTGTTGTTGGCTGATTTGCTTCAAATCCCTGTGTCTCCATACTGCAGGGTTCCCACAGTCATGGCAGACCTGGGGGGGAAAAAGTGAATAGTGAACCCAAAAATTATGTACGACTTGCTTTCTTCTGTGGACCTCAAAAGACGATGTTTGGAAAAATGTCTGTTGTTTTGTCCATACAATGAAAGTCAATGGGGTCCAATGTTTTGTTTTGATCCAGTGGACTTTTTTAATATGAAAAAAAAAAAAAAAGTATTTTATGTTCAGCAGAAGAAAGTAAGCTATACAGGTTTGGAACAGCACGAGGGTGAGTAAATGATTTTCAATGTTTGGGTGAACAATTACTTTTCTAGGGAAATGAATGTGTCAGAATGTGTGGGAACCCTGATATCAAAGGCAACCTCTAAGCCTGTCTCTGATTCCTTCATGTCAGCTGCTCGTGTTCAGACTTGTTGGCTCTCTGTGCACAGTGTGTTGTGAAATGCTCTGACAGACAAGGTTATAATCTGGGGCTATAATCTACTTTACCAGTACCATTGACATCTATTCCAAATGTCCTTTCTATTGAATTGGCTTCACTGTAGCATCTCAGAAATAGAGTTTATTCAAGGCTAATATATGTATAGTCACAACTGGACGTCTTTTTGGGTTGTATTGAAATGGTGGTTGTTCACCCCAGACTCTTTGGAGTTTCCACCCTCCATCGCTCTAAGATGTTTTTCTAAGCATGGCTGCCAATGTTTGGTCCACAGGGACGAGGACCCAGACATCCGATTGGAGGCTATTTATAATAGAATAAAAAATTGTTTTTGTAGTGGCACAATGCTATATGCCAGTAAGTACTCTATGTTCCACATTCAGTTTTTATTCTTTTATTATATTTTTTCCCCTTCAGGCTACATGTACAGGACATGTACTGTGGGTTACCCAAGTCTGCAAAACCCTAGAACATTTTCCCATGATGCTGCAAATCCAATTTTAGCTCCCCA